AAATGACAATAAATAACAATAATTTCAAAAATATGTATACGATAAGGCATCTTACAAAAGATGGCAATATAGTTATGAATGGGAAAAATAAACATAATAGTAAAACATAGAACTAGTTAAAACATAGAACATAGAGATAGTGCCACATTATAGTTTAACACCATTAATAAGAATTTCAGCCATGAATGAAAGAAAAAGGTTTGTACTAATTCTGACCATAATTAAGCAATTGTATTAATTATGTATTTTTTATTGTCATTTTATTCCTTTTCTTCTTATTCTTCTTTTTTTTTATATTCCATGAGATTGAAAAACTCCAGACAAGAAAAGCCAAGGATGTATCGCGGTTTATCTCATTCACGGTGAAATTTAAATCTAACCGAGGAGTCTGAGGAGTTTCATCCTTCGTCGAGAGAGCTGTCCTCGCGTAGGAGGTCCGCAAGGTGAGCAGATTGTCGGTTGGCTATCGGAAATATTTCCCGGCTCCGAGAATTTATCGGGCGTCTGCCCGGAAATATTTGAAAATTCCTTCGACGCTCGCTGCGAAAACGGCGACCATAGAGAACAGAGCCATTGGAAGAGGTGTGTGGGTGGATACGAGGGGAGGCATCTGGATCTAGGATATTTTTCACACCTTAATTAGTACGGATAGATAGAAGACAGTAAAATGTCAGAAAATGTAAATTTGATTTTGTGAAAATTTCTGAATTGTTTTTAATTGAGATTTTTAAATAAGATTTGATTTTAATATTATGATTTTGTAGTGGAGAATTAATAATTATTAGTAAGTATAACATTATTTTAAAAAAGTTTATCAAATCTATTCGTTTTGTTAATTTAGAATTAAATTAGAATATTAAATAATTAAATAAAATTTTCTACTAGCTTACTAGTTAAGAGATACAATTAATCCAAATTTCCAAAATTTTAGGTTAAATTATATTTTAAAATCATATCATCTCTTAAAATATTAATGTATTTTCCTAATTCATAAAAACGTGAATCTAACAAATTTATTAAATTAATTTAAGGTAATATCTAGATGACAAACTACACTGTACTAATCTAAAAATATAAGAATAATACGATATCTATAAAATATATATAAATAAAAAAATGGACAAAAATCTAATTTATCTAAAAATATTATCTAAAAATATTATATATGAAAAATATCATAAAAACTTTTTTTAAAAAACTGAATGGAAATAAACTATAAAAGTCAGAAAGAATTTCAATTGTAATATTAAATCTTATATAAGTAGTCGATATTTGAAATATTTTTTCAGATCTCGTCTGTCCACATTGTCCAATAAATAAATAAAAGAATTACTACTCGATAGAAGCCGGCGTGAAATCGGATAAAAGTTGTAAACGTAGCTTTCGCGCGCGCGAGAAATCCACGGAAGTTGTAAATTATGAAGAACAATAGCCTTAAACAGTCTGCAGATGCGATAAGAGGACGTTTGAATCACGTCTTCTTCTTTGGAGTCTGAATAACCGCATACTATTCGAAGATACGAGTACCGGAGAAGAAGAATGCTGATTCCGTTGGTGTCGACGATTCCACAGAAAGCGTTGAGTTTCATTTCTGTTCCTCGACCCCTTGTAGCTAGTTTAGAGCGTTGGAAAAGCAAAAGATAAAACGTCTACGTGGAATATGAAATTCATCTTATTTGTTACATACCAGAATATTTAAACTGTTTTTGCATAACAATATCATGAATAATAAAAAAAATAAAAATAAAAATTGCCAGAAAAATTGAGATTATTATCTATCATAAGATTTTTTAAATTTCTTTAATTCAAATTAATTTTAAGTTTCTGAAATCTCAATATTATGATACTTCAATTATTGTATCTTGAAATTAACAATTTCTTTTTCTAATCTCAAAAATATGAAATTCCTTAAACTTTACTAGAAAGATATAATAAATTCAATCACATTTATAATTTTCAACCTATCACATTTTATCATTCACAAATAGTATTAATTTTTCTCTCAATCTCTAGAAAACCCAAAATTACAAAATTCCCTATATATCACAACATCAGCATAACCTCAAAGATCATTTAAAAATTTCAACCAATCATTTAACGCTGTAACGACAACTTATGACATGGACTGTCATATCAGTCCCACTATAACCTATTTTCAACATTTTCGAAATACGAGATACAGAAGAAAAAATGGAAAAAAAGAACAAAAGAAAGAAAAGGACAACTAGGAGGAAAAAAGCTATGATTGATCAAACTAGTGACGTGAGTGGGAATGAAGAGAAACGAGAGGGACTCGATAGCCCTGAGAGGACATACCACTCTCGGTAATATAAGGTGGCGGAATAGATTACGACCCTTCACCCTCGATAGTACTTCTCTGCTCTGTTGGGGACGGTCGCCGCCCTTATTGCGAAAGACCACGAGTTTATTGCGAACGACTGTGCGCCTCGTTCACCACCTACCCGATTTATGGGGATATATAAGCGCATACCACCGACAAATTTCCCCATAATAACGTGGACCCACTATAACGTCCTTTCATCAACACTTTTCTCGATTTTACTTTACTGGACGTTCAGTTATCCAGAAGTAAAACGTTTCCATAATCGTAATTATGGATTCAGAGGATTCCCGATAGATAGTAGATCCAAGTTGATGATTGAGTATGGTTGAGTATTCTTTTCATATGTTATTATTTCTAAGTGAAATTAATCTTTGAAATAGCTCATGGGAATGTTCGTGTGTCTTAACGGTCTCCGCTTGGGTGAGGTTATTAAGCATGGGAAATTTATTTGATTATAGGTGGTGATGATTACTGTAACTGTAAACTGTTTTATATCATGGATTATGAAGTTGAAAGATATGTTTAGTTTTCCAGTTTAATTTGTTTCATGAGAAGAATCTATTTTAGAATTATTGAATAAATGATATTTGGTAAGATTTTAATAATAAATTGTTAAAAGTTAAAAAGTTAAAAAGATATTTATAAATAAAATTAAAAAGATTCTTTTAATATTAAAATAATTTTGATGATAAAACAAATGAGATATTTATCTATTTTAAATTCTAGATTCCATTTGAAGTATAAAAAAAGAAATGTATAATTTACAATTTGTAACTTGTCAATTTACTAATATTATTATTAAATTATTTTGCAAGAAGACGATATTAATATGATATAATCTACAAATTTTATCAATCTATATTATATTACATTTTAATAAGGAATTTATTATACCTAAATTTCCACTCAAAATTCTTAGGATATCTCTTATCTTTCATTAAATTTTAATATTTAATATAATTCATGAATCTTGAATGTATTTTTTTTTTAATTTTAAGTCAAATTGTTAATACTATTATCTCTTAATATTTATGCAATTTTTTTTTAATTTTCAGAAAGAATATAATAAACTTTCAAAGACTTGAGTAGAGGTGCAAATTAAGATACGAAAAAAAGAAAATAATTGTTTAAAATTTTATTTAATTGCCGAATATTTTATTTAACTTACTTTCATTCGACCATTTTCTACGCCGAAAATGAAAAGTTATTACATGCTGTTTTAATACGGACCAGTGCGTGCTTTCAAATATGTACACTCAGAAATGTTGGATGAAAAACTTGCAACCGTGTTCATTTCATCAGAACAGTATGCCAAAAAGAATGTTACACAACATGAGAACGAACACAACCTGAAAGCAAGATTACACGAAGCACGTGTTTATTCGTATTTTTTCCTCGTATTCATACATATATATCATGACTTTTATAAAGGAAAACTATTTACAAATTTTTATAATGTAATACTTAAGAATTTTTAATTTTTCAAATATAATTGAAATTTTTTATCATTATTTTTTAGTTTTCATCTAAGAAATATTAATTTCGTTTTTTGAAAATTTAATATTTATTTTATTATTATTAATAAATTACCCTATAAATTATTGTTAATTATTAGTTTAATACGTAAATTAGTTTTACAATTTTTCTATTTTTTTTTAAGACAATTTTTTCATTTTTCATATTATTATTAAATTTTTATTTTCAGATATACATAACAATTGTTTGGGTAAAATTTACATTATAGAGAGACAAAGTAATCGACAATTAAGCGATCCGATTAATTCGTATTTGCATTTTCCTTGGAACAAGGTTGAATCGATAGAATGACGACTGTTCGATTCTTTTCGTAGCGGAATCGTCATTGAAAGTACACACGAACGAGGTCGGAGATTGCTTCGTAAATTCTTTTAATACTCGACCTTCTGTTCGGTAAAAGGGCGGCCGAGAAGGGGTGACTTTACGGATCAAGGGTGCCGAGCAACAAGTGTGATTCTAAGGGGGTGCTTCAGGGTCGTCACACGGCGGTGCTCATTGTGGATTTATCGATTTACCGCGTTGAAACAACATTCATATTTAAACAGAACAACATTCATATTTAAACAATTCTTCTTGTTCTACTCATATGCACATCGCGTTTTGTATTCGGAAAGTTTTCAAAGTGAAGATATTTATTTGAATGATATATAACATTCCTTATAGAAAAAAGTATTAGATCATTAAAAAAAAAATTAATAATTTTAACAAAGATTTTAATAATTTAACAAAGATTAAATTTAAAATTATAAATTAAATTAAATTTATATTATTATATTATAATTTATATAAATTAAATTAAATTTAAAGATTTAATTTAAGAATAATTAAATATTATAATCCTAAATAGTTTAGTAATTTTTATAAACGATGCATTATATATTAAAAAATATATGCTATATTATATTTAAAAAAATACAAGTTTACTTTCAAGATGGATTAAAACAAAATTATAGTATTTTATATCTTTACGTCGAATTCATTTAATTTTTATTTGAAACATTTTTTAATATTTCTAAAAATAAGTAAAATATTATTATCGATAAAGTTAGTAAAGAGATAGAGTAATATATATTTATTATATATATTATCAAGTTTATATTTATATTTGTCATATCATTTACAAAAAAATGTCTCAAATTTTGAAACAATTTCACCTCGAAAGCCAAGATGCATTGTTTTGTCGAGAGACGAATTTCAAACATAAGGGTGGTTTTGCCCCATCGAAGACCGAATTCTATTAAGCAAAACACGATTCGCTCGTTGTCATCGTATTTCATTCTAATTCGAATCTTACAGGGGGTTACAGAACGTACGTGCTCCCCCATGCAACGGTTGAAGACGGATGCGTAGGGTGGTTTCTGGAATGGTAAATACGCTTCACTCCCCTCGGTACTATTGGCTCTTATCGCGTTTCTGAATTGTTTTTCGAAAGAGAAATGTGAGCATAAAACGACCCATGATCGTTATCGATCCTATCTTTACTCCCTAACTTTATTGAAATAATTTCGATGCCATTTTAATTTTATATGTTTATAAAATATTTTTTCTTTTTTTTTTTTTTTTAATATTGAGATACATAGTTAATCAAAAGTTGTTTAGTTTTTGTTCAAAACATTCTTTTGTCAAATTATTGAAAATGCCTGAAAAATTATATAAATTACTGTATATAATATTATTGTATATATTTTGCATATATTATATCTATTATGATATCTATATATCTCTTGATTCTATAAGTCGAAATAAAACGAAATTACATTAAAAGCATCATTTTCCAAAGAATCAAATTTGAAAAATTTGAGAATTTTAGAATTCTTTATTTCATTCAATCTTTCATCAAATTATTTATACTATTATATATTAAATCATAATTCCACATTTTTATCCACTACAAACTATCCCCATTTATTGCATATTCTTAAAAAAAAATTCCCTAAACATAATACTTCTCACGTAACCAATTTCCTTTTCAAAAGAAAAACGATCAGTTCAATCTACAATGTTTACGTGTATCGAGGAAATAAGAAGAAGGCATTGATTAAGAACAAGGCGGGAAAACGTTCATCGATTCATCACTGAAACCCTTTTTCTTTTATCCTCGGTTTCACGGCGTTCTTCTCCTCGATTTCCACTATTGGCAAAGCGATAACTCGGTACGTCGGTCATAAATCAAACTGCCAGAGTGTTTCACCTAACCTCTCCAACAGGAAGCTTCCTCCACCATCTCCTTCATCCCGTGGCAAATGATCCGCGACCTTTCACTGCTCTTTTTATTCACTTTTCTTCCTTTTCTTCCCTTCTCTTTTTTTTATATTCTCCTTTTTTTCTCTCTTTTATTCACGGTCTTACCGCGTCATGAAAAATAAATCCCTGGATTCAGGTTCAGGGCTTTGACATTTTGGTAAATTACTCAAGCCTCTTTTGTATTGTTGCACAGAGTGTTTCCGGATATGCATGAAATATCGACAGATTGGGAAAATGTCAGAAGTACATAAGCTCTGTTTTTCAATATTTTTTGGTTGGCAAGATTTATTCAATTGTACGAATTCGTTGGTTTTGATTTGATATCATTCTATATTATTTTCAATATTTAAATCTGATGATATACATAATGAAAACATAATGAAAAGTCTATAATTTTATTCATGTTAGATTTGAGATAACTAATAAAGAAATTTTTAAATTTCTATTGAAGAAATTATATATTAACAATTAATCAAAAAAGAAATTTAATTCAACATTTTCAATTTTAACAATTTATATATACAATAATATCAGACATATCTATCAATTTTAAATTCATGAAAATTTAAAAATTTTCTCGATGTAATACAATTCAATCTTCATACATTAAAATTATCTAAATCTAGCCCAATTGTAATTACAAATCACAAGGCCTCCATTTAGGTGACACTCTTTACGTACCAAACAATCCATCAACTTTTCACGCAGTTCCCGCAACTGTACTCCGCTATAATATTTACGACCGGTAATTTCCTAGCAATTACCACTACTGTCACATGACAAGACTCATTTAAACCGTTTTCATTTGTCGCCCATCCTTCTTCGCGCTATAAAAATTGCTATCATCACGAAAGAGAAGAAAAGAAAAAAAAGAGAATGAGCGTGACAATTAAATTAGACTTCGAACAAGCGCGACCAAGCTTGTTTAGGTTAGGTCTGTTTTAATGTTCGTGATTTGCCGGCGAATTTTAATTGCACTGTTGTCAAGTGAACGAGGGCCAATTTTCATTGGATGAGGACTCGTTTAAACTCTGGGTGGAAACTGGTCCAATAGGAAACAGGATATTGTCGGTGAGACAAATAAAGCGTAGTAATCATAAAATGTGGCATTGAAATTAATTTTCGAATTAATTAAATTTTAAAAAAATAATGAATTGAGATTATACAATATAGTTCAAATAAAATGTTAGAAACTATTTTTTTATAGAAAGTATAAAAATGTAGACTTTGGTTTTTAGTCGTTTATTTTGATATATAGAGTGTTTTTAGAATAGAGAATAATAGAGAATTTTTGTAAAAGTTTGATATATAAAAATTTTTATATATTAAATTGTAATCAATTTAAATTTATATTAGATAAAAAAAGATGAGATAAATTGAAATATAATCATCTTACAAATTTAATTAAGAAAAAATGAAATTGATATATTTATTTGTTTCTTAAAAAATAAGTAATAAAATTTTATTTATATTTTGTATGAAATTCTGAAGAATTATATTTTTGAAATTATTTAAAATTTTTAAAATTATAATATAAAGATTTGTAAAAATTATATCTAATGTTATTATATTATTTTAAAATTATTAAAAGTCAGAAAAATTTTTAATTCAAAATCATAGAAAGATCAATAACTCATTTTGACATCATTTATTACTGTATTAAATTTTTTTTTAATTAATTCAAATCTAAAATTATGTTTAAAATATTTTTCTATCAGATCATTTTACTATACTCTTTCTCAAAGCTAATAACTTTTAATTGATTGTCTAATAATAATCTATAATATAATAAATATTATCATAATATAATATTTACATAACATAATTAACTTACAATTATAAATTATAAATTATGCTATATTATCCATCAAAAAATTCAAAGTTCAATATACAATTCATTTTTAAATCAATCGATCTGATACTTCAATTTGGAATCTCATTACATTTACTAGATTATACCATTTTTCATATAGTTAATAATCATACATGTTACACTTGAACTTTGTACCTTTGTATCCGACCGAATGAATTATCTTTTCCGCGTATAATTTCACGCAGGTGCATAATTCTAAACAGTGAAACGAAGAAATAGAAGTGCAAAGATGATCATGTCCCGTAATCCACGATGGGAAATCTTATATTCTCTTCCACTTACATCGCTACGTGACCGAGAGCTTCGATGTCAATGAGATAAATGGAATTTGTTTTTTAATGACGGAGGTCGAGAGTTAGAAATCAAAGATTTTAATCTTCAATCAAATCTTTAATCAAAAGTGGCCCGAAAAGATTTAAGTTTTGTATTGTTAGATGGAATCGTATATCAGCTTGTCCTAACAATAAGTGGCCGAGAAGTGATTATAATATGGATTAATATTAGGATATAATATTCAGCTATATTGGATATTTTATGAAAAATTATAAATCAATAAAAAAAAGCAACTTAATATTAATTTTTTAATCTAATGATAGAATTAAGATAAGAATAAAATAAAATAAAAATATAATAAAATATATAATATAATAAAATATAATAAAAATATATATACACCTTATACATTTTCTTCAACAAAATTTACTCAAAAGATTTAAAAATTATACTACACTAACACAATATAACCTATAATATATATGGATCAAAAATAATCACTATATTGTTATTTAAATTACACTATCCAAGTATCAACACATAATTTATAAAATATCTCAATGGTCTCCAACTCCATAAAATGTCTTATTCAATCGCGATTATGCCGCATCCTGCATAAACGAATTCCAAAACAGTCTGAGCACCACTGTGAGACCACCTTGTAAAGTTGGAGAAAGACAGCGTAAGCCGGATGCACGAGCAGAAGCGAGAAGAAATGAACGACAGAAAAGCGAAGTGGAGGGAAGGGAAGAGTTTAGGTTAGGATGCGCCAGGCCAGGAAATGCACTTGACGCAGCGTCGCCGCGGAGGATGAGTCATCGGAGATACGGAAAACCGGTTCGCCACGACTATAAGCCTTTTCCCTTGGCAGCACGTCTCGAGCCGATTC